AATTTTACTTTGCATTAATCCTGAAGATCTATGACACTGCCACGAAATCCCTATGTATAAAACGACTATATTTTGCTTCCAGGATACGAACGAACAACACGAAGGACAAAGCGACTTGAAGAATCCCTACAGAGTGCTAGTAGAAAAATACCAAGCTTTGTTAGAAGTTCAAAGACGCTCGGCTCTACGACGAAAGGACAGCGTACCAACGCCTATGTCGTTGCAAGAGGAACTAGAGATGTCGGGTGAATTTAACAGCTTTCATACTCCGACGTTGGAAACAGAGATTCAACAAGAGCCGACGAAACCTGCCAGTGGAAACGCTACACGTGCCAAAACTGAAGTATGCGGTAAGAAGATACTCTCGGCTACACCTACAGACTTCTCCGAAGCCGAGACGTCGTCTTCTGGATTCTCGGACGAGACGAGCAATAAAGCGACGCAAACGGAAGGAAGGCCCGGCTCCTTCCTTTGTTCTATCGCGGACGGAGAAGATTGCAAGTTCAGCATTTATGACGATAACAGCCCGTTCGAGAGTAGATTTAGGAAAACACCGGAATACAGGCAATTATTCAGCGAAATATTCAGCGTCCTTAAACGAGCGGCGGAAGCCAAAGACGAAGGAGAAAAATTACCATTGCTGGATGATTCTACGAGTACGACAGCTTCTCAACAGCAATCCCCGATTTTACTCCAAGAGGACGTTCCAAGCGAGACTACGGACGACAATCAGAGCGTCACGTCATCCATGTTCTCCTCCGCCGTATCTGAGCCGCCTTACAGAGTACAATTGCCTGTCTCATCGAACGGGGTTAAAGAACAAAATACCGAAACAACTACGATTGCGCAGGCAAAAACTAGAAACGATATTATTCGAGACACGGATCGCACAGTTTGTATAGCGCTTAATTATAAAAAGAAAATCTCAAAGAAAAATGCTAATAGAAAATTGTCGTATAACGAGCGACCAACGACGCCTGATGTGGTTCCGACGACAAACTCCAAGTCCGTTCCACCAAAGTCGAACAGCGGTGGAAAGAAAAAGTTCAGACCTTTCACAATCGCCAATCAAAATGGTAGTCTCGTCTGTAATGGATACAGTTATGCGAATAGAACGAAAGAATCACCCAATTACGGAAAGCATTCGAATAACGTGTACATACAGAACAACAATGATCAACAGAACAGTAGTTTCGAGTACAGAGACTATAAACCAAGCACTGCTTCTGAAGAAGTCGCTCGATTAAAACGTTTAGAAATGTCCTACGCAGAAGTTCTTCGATTGCCAAATAGGTCTAAAATGAGTAATAATCGTAGAAGTTAAAATATTCATATACGCGATACCTTTAAACGAAGAAGAAACTTTTATACGTAAGATATAGTCAAATGAGATTAAGTTCCAAATTTTTTAAGTATTTAACGTCAAACAAATACTTAGAACATGATTTAAATTATTTCCGAAATAATTATTCAGTATTGATAATCAGTGCTACCTTGTGAATATCTAAGAGAAGCGATTGTGAGTAACGTCTGTACTAGATACTAACTACTTGACATTAATTTTTTATTGTATTTTGTATCTTAATTGTATATGTTTTTTCATGTGAATGTGTGTGGGTAACCAAGGTACATAACTTTAATATATTCAATAATATCTGCAAGAGATTTATGAGTAAAATAAATCGAGTCGTGCCTCGCGAGTTCGTTTTTCTTTAGAAATTGTAGTTGTAACCAGGAATAAAATTATTTATGTGCCATTTACTATGCCGAATTATAATTGTCAACTATCCCAAATACTTGCTCCAACTTCCTCTCATAACTTAATATCTATTTCCAAGAGAACTCACAATAGTCCATTTCATTAATAGCATGTACAGAGTATTAGCTACTATATTTCATAGCTATAAATTACAACAATATTGTGACCATCTTATTATACCAAGTAAATAAAACCTTCGTCATAGTCAGCATATTCTATCGTAATAAGATCTAATTCCTTTCTCTACAGCATCCTGTAAATAGCTTTGCTATTCTTTTATTTACGATTACGTTACGTTATAAAATACTCAGAAGGACGAGTATATACTTTTTGCACTTTAATTCCAATCTAATGCGAACACTTTTCTTCAATTTTCGAGATCTCATTGACAACGAAGTATTAAAAATTCCTAAATGCTTGTTGTTTTATTTGACTATATTAAATGTACAATAAGCATTCTTGTGTCTGTCCTTTATAACAACATTTAATTCATTTGCTATTGAGCTAATTTCGTTCAATTGTAATATAGATTAAAAATAAGATACATGAAAGTTTATAAATACAATTTCCAGTCAGAACTCCTTTCTCCAGATGCTCTCAGTACACATCTTTTAATCTCCTGATTCCTTTTCTATTTTCTTCTCTTTTAAAAATATTTGGAATAAAAACTTTTGCCATTATATATGACATTTTATGATTAAAATTGAAATATATTTGATTAAGAATCATCGAACAATGCACGGTGTACTGCTCCTAAACTTGGTTGTACATAACTTGAACTAACACTTCTTCTGGATCTATAAAGGTACATAAAAATGGAAATATTTATTCGTTACTCAAACTTCGTGGTCATAACAAAATATTACAAAGCCTCTCACTTAATCTTCTTTTACCATAATAGTATTTCGTCATAATAACAAAATATTATACTTACTCTGTAAGCGACCTAACGGCTGGTCCAGTTGGATTATTTTTTGGTCGTGGATTTACAAGGAGACACTTCATAGGGTGTCCATCTAATTGTCTATTATGATAAGTTTCAACAGCTTTAGTAGCATCCTTTAATGTTTTATAAATTACTTCTGCTGTACCTGGTCGTACTAATCTGGATACTAATAATTCTCCTACATCCTCAAATAATTCCTGTAATATACGAATATTTCTTCTTTAGTTCAGCTAGAATTAAATACGCTTAATGCTCCTGACTTGATTATACCTTGATATCTTCTTGAGTGACATTTGCTTGTAAATTTGATACTACAATCCGATAACCCGTTGATTGTGATGACGAAGTGGAGCTTGTTTTGGATCGAGGTAAAACACCTATATTTCGCGATTTACTCGGAACTGAATCTAGTCTTGATTTTACTCCAATATCTCTATGACTTCTTGAATCGTAATACTTTGAATCCGTTGCATCTTCCGCTAATATAGTCCTGTGAAAGTAACAATAAGTCAAATATTATATGTAACAAATTTTATTATTTTGTTTGTTACAATAAATTTGAACAAAATCAATAAAAAAATATACCTTGACTTTGTACCAAAACTCCAATCTTCCTTATATGAGGGAGAAGCAGGTTTTGCCTGAAATCATTAATTACGAATAATTTAAAAGTCCAAAATTAAAGAACTAACATGACAAACACCAGTATATGTAACAGCAATTACCATTGGAAAACGTGCAATAACTTTATAATCTCTTGCTCTTTCACGTTCTCGATCATCATCAGGTTTACGAGAAGGTACAATTCTTATTACATTACTGCTTGTTGGTTTTACCCATGTGTATGAAGATGTAGGTTTAATACTGAAAGCTGGAGGAGGTGGGGGTGGTGTAGGAGCATATTCGTTACTTACTGTTCTTCTTAAAGGTGCTGATTCCATCATATAATCTAAAATACAGAAAGACATTAAATAATCCTGCACGTTTATCACTACAAACCAAATTAAATATGTATACCAATTTTCTTTGTACCATCAATAAAATCCATGTTCATGTCTCCCATGTAATGAGTTTCTGCAATTGAATGTGACCTATAACCCACTGCCCTAGTGGATGGTGGCATATAATTATTTGGAATATTTGGTGCTACGGTGTGTGGCATAATTGGAGGCACTTTATTAGTTGATAAAGACAGTCTTCCATTACGACCTGTTTTTTGAGATATTCCAGGTATCTGTGCTTTTATTTTCTTAAACTGTGATGCACGGATTTTATCCAATTTTAATCTGGCATCACTTTGTTTGGCAATTTCTGCAAGTTTATCTCTTGCATCTGTAAGTTTCTCCCGATTCTTTTGTATAATTTTAAATCGTGCATCAGTAATAACTTGTGAACCTCGTCCTCTTAGTGAACCATTAGCACGTGCACCCCTATTAATACCTCTTCGGATACTGTATAGAATATGGAGAAGTGACAGTTAATTTTCATGCTCATTATATTTAATTTCTGTAATGCATTTCTAAGAATAAATGTTCGCGTAATACAATGTTATACTGAAATACTAATAATTATACAGACTAAGGTTAGATATCAATAAACAAAAGGTTAAATAATGAGAAAATATATATAAATAACGATTATATACAAAATCTGTAAAAAAAATAATACAAATTTTTAATCATTCCTGAGAACACTATAGAAAAGTTTCCAACTTGAAATGTATTTTTTCATTAATCACAAATTATGAAATAAATCTGCCGAACCAATAAAATAACAGAAAAATTGATTAAAAAAAACAATATTATGTGTGAAATGAAAAATCTTGAAAATTGTTGCCAGATAATATTCTAAAAACGAAATTTTCTTTTTGATAATTGCACTCTCATTTTTTTAAGGTTATGAAGAAATCGATAATATAGCAGTCACAATAGAGTCAAATTTATTACTGATTTTTTAAAATTGTCTCACCTTCCACCTCTGCTTCTCATTCCTGATGATTTTGATTTTTTAATTATGTCATCTAAACTTAGACCCACATCAGCCATACCGTAACAATCCAACTACCCGAAACTGACGCGAATCATGGAATCGAAGATACATGCGATATGCAACTATGGAAGCCATCTTACACTTCAAGGGAAGTTCTCATATAATTACTATGTTTAACTGGTTTAACGTTATTTCCAACGACTTCTAGGAACCCTCCTATATCTTATCGAAAAAAAAATGTTTAAAATATGTACAATGTAAGGAAAGTTTAATCAACGATAAAAATATTTTTTCCAAGTTATGGAATTATTTTTAACACATATATATTTGTTCGTTGAAATATTTAGATCTGTCTATCCGCGCGAAAATGTATCTTTCCTTGAAGTCAGTTCAAAATAAATGCACAAAAGATTGTTAAAAACAACTAACTTCAAAAACTAGAATAACTTTTTCGTCAACTTTCCTCTCATAACTTCAAATTGAAGATATAAATCAGTCCTCGATATGGTAATTTTACATGATGAAGAGTATTATAAAAGTCGAATACCGCAACCCGATTTAGGACCTCTTCGAAACTTTCTGCGGTTTATTTGGGATAATAATCGAAAGACATTTCTTGACAGAACAGCGAAAGAATGGGGTAACGTCATGAATAATTCGAACAAGCATTCTAGTTTTATTTTATGCTACAATTTAGTATTTCTGTTCACATAACTCAGCATAGTTCGGAAAAAATAAAATTTCATGAGATGATCATAGAAATGAATGTGGCGACTGATGCATTGTATTAATTTAGTTACATCCGGTTTTTGTACGCTTTGTTATGTTATGATTCATGGAGAATTATGGCCTTGTGCGATTAAACGTGTTAACGTAAAACATATATTTGAAATGTAGGTCAACTAGGAATATTTTATTTGTTCTTCTTTGCCGTTTTGGGATCAATATTCGCAATACAAATGAAGATCAGTATAGATTATGTTTCTAAACTAGATAGACCATTTTTTCAATACTCTGGTCAAATTACACAATCTATTTCCGCAAGGAGCGTACGTCTTTCCCGTTCTGCCTTTGGTAGTCCAGGTATCGATAATATTAAAAGAAAATATTTTGCAAAAATTATTTGCAAACATAGAAATCAAATAATTTATTTTTTAATAAATTTTTATCCTGTATAATATTTCAACAATGGATGTATTTTATTCTTGTAACTTGATTCGTCACAAGATTATTTACAAGAATAATGTTAAATTAATTAATAATGCACCCAATATGGACGCTCATATTAAGTAAAATCTTTCTAAAGGAATAGTTTTTAAACCAAACAGCATATCAGCTGTATCACCCATTATTGCCGTGAGCAATTTGCTTAGCAGCACCAGACCGGACAGATATATTCGAGCCTTGTCTGATTTTTTACAAGGTATCTTGCTAAATACACATATATATATATATATATATATATATATATAATATTTATTTGTAACATTTCTCACCTTTTACTTATCCTTGTTTATAAGTTCTTACAATTCTTAACATTTTTTATTTTAGAATATCATAAGAATATGTCGGACTATGACTTATATTGTCAGAATAAACATGCGAAGACAAATCATAATAAAAAACCTTGCTTTTTTTATATAAAATCTCTTGGAATATGTAGCAAGCCTCCATACGGATATACAAAACCGTTCCAACCTTGTGTTCTTATTAAATATAATAAAGTAATTTTCTCATAAGTATAAACTGCGAATGTTTATATCTGCATTTGTAAAAAAATTTTAAGTGTGAAAAATGCACATATTCAAATATATGATATATATCGTAATTAATATTCAAATTAATATATATGTATATATATGTTGTAGAGGTTCGATTGGATACCTGAATATTATAATAATTCTTCGAATCTGCCAGATCATATGCCAGATAAATTGAAGAAAGCAGTACGGGAATCTACAAAGGTTTCATTTAGTAAATGAACTACTATAATTATTATTATTACTATAATTTATTTTCTTACTTACGCTAGTATTACTATAATTTTATTTCTTTTATTTCTGCATATTTATTATGTTTACGAATACATTCTCTCTTATTAATTACACATATTAATTGTACATATTCTCTCTTATTAAATATAAGCGAAATATTTAAATGTATTTTTTGTAAGCCTTACATTTGGTTATCATGCGATGGAGCAAATAACGTTGATAAAGAACACATCGGAGAAATAGAATACATTCCATATCCTGCATTTCCAGTCCAATATTTTCCATTTACCGGACAACCAGGTTATCTCTCCCCTATTGTTGCATTAAAATTTAGAAATTTAACACGTAAGTATGAAGCTTCTATTTCGCAAACTTATTTGTTATTATTATTTTTGCAATTACTGCAGGAAATAGACTAGTAACAGTGGAATGTTATTTATGGGCTTACAATATCGAACAACGTCACCGTTATTCATTAGATTTTCAAATAATGACAGGTAAAACAAGAGAGAAAACTTATTGGCAATTTACTATTTCTAATAATTCGTTTGTTTAATAACAAGTTAATTTTTTATTAGGGAATTAAATTCGCTATACAATTATGGAGGGCGATAAGAATTTTTTGCTATTTTTATGATATAAAATCGTACGAAATATTTTAAATATGTATAAGGATATAAAAGACAAATGCGAAGAAAAAATTTTGCTCGTCGGCAATTCAATTTTTGTCATTTAATTGCAATAATATCCGACCTTATGCGCGGCCATGCAGGGAGATTCATTCCAACTAAAACGTGTGAAATCCAATTTACAGTAAAGCGTGATCCACGGTATGTTTTATGTATCTTACGATAAGAAACACGTGAAATAGTTTGACCTTCGCTGCTTCTGATCTGTACGCGATTGCATAATCTAAAATCGAAAAGATAAAATCTAATACCTCGTGATATAATTGCCGCGTATCATTTGAATGAAAACGAGGTACAATACGAATTAATAAATCACTATCTAAGAAATTGTGAAAGAAATTGACGGAGACGATTAAAAATATGAGATAGCAATTTGTAGAGTAAATTTGAAGCGTAAATACACTTTTTACTTCGAACATAGTTACGAAAAAAATATATTTGCTGTATTAATTTAACAACTAGTAAGTAATAATAGAATTTACGATTTAAATGTAAATTTTAAAAGCCATCATTTGCAATAAAATAGCTTATTAATCGATTATACAGAATAGTACGAATTCTTGATAATTTCCATAAATCTAGTACGCATAGATTGCGTCGATATAAATGACGTACAGAAAATACTCGGTGATTTACTTGTGTATTCACTGTATATTAAAATATCAACGATGTTTAAGCGGTATTTTCCGTAAACGAGGACATACTGCGATCGTCCTGTTACGAGCGTTATACAGGCACTTTCAAAGTTCAATATATTCTATTATAGCCGTTTTAATGTCAATTCAGTTGTGGGGCAAACCCTCGAAGAGATACAAAAGTGATGAAGAAGTAAGAAGAATACAGAAAGATTAAATAATTCAAATAAAATTATTATAATAATGGGATAGTCGAAGAGAGGAATAGCGGAGGAGATCGATCTTTGATTTCCGCGTAACATCCGGTTTAACGAGTATGTAGTTTTATTTACCCAATAAGAAAATATTGCATACGCATATTATCCGGTCAAGTAGTGGTCCAGTCATGAGACTGATCGATTGATATGAAACAATACCCGGGGGAAGGAGCTCTCGATGGCAGCTAGGTGTGAGTCAACCATAAAGCAACGAGTGTGGGTTCTCTGATATATCTTAGCGTTTCCCACTACTCGATCGGTAGACGTAGGGCCGCGACCGATCGTGGTTGCGCCACCGCTACCGAGCTTGGATACACGCGGTATCGCTTAGCTGTCTCCGAGATAGCGAGAGTAGTGAGCTGTTTCAGCTCAAGCGGAATACAACTTCGTTGAACGAGACGAACCGAGCTTACAGTTTTTCATACTGGGTCCGTTTTTCATACGTAATAAATATAACGTTGAGGCACGATCGAAAGGTATTTTTATCAAGAGATTCGCGTTAAAATCGAGTGATAGAGTTGCGCTAGTGTTGCACGAGATAGTCGCTGAGACGAACATGCCGGGCAAGCAATTGCAAAATGGTACTTATGAGATCGATTACAAGCGAGCACCCGACCAAAAGACGCGCTGGGAAGCTCTCCGAGATTGCATTCACGATCCAGTCGAAGGCACTTACTGCGGCCACACGGGGAAGAAATGGGGTAATTATTCTCTTATAATTTAATAATTAGAGACCATTGGATGAATGGTATGTTTATATGAGCGCATGAATAGCATGTGCTTCGAGCTGCATAGACGCGTTTCGGTCCTGTTGTGCTCTGTCGTTCTAATTCCAATTCATATTGTTATATTATTATATGTTAGTAACCTTTTAGTGGTAAATCATTTCTGAAATTCTTAACCCCTATGTCAGCGAGATAAGCGTGAAGTCAAGCTGAATGTTTAAATCAAGTACCGAGAATTAGGGCTTCCTTGACTTTGTTACATACCAACGGGATGAGTTCGTAGTATTCTCGGTGTTTCTCATAATCCGACTGTCTTTCGCGCTTATTCAAAAGAGAAATTTAATGCATTTTATATAAATACGCACATTCGTATTTTGTTTTTGATACATTGTAAAATGTATCAGATTCATGCATCGTGTATGTGTGTGTGTGTGTGTGTGTGTGTGTTTTGCAATAATAAGACCGGAAATAAGTATCGGCGAGGTTAAGTCGGAATGAAAGAAACGATAGGATTCGCGTTAGCTCGAACTAGATAAAAAGTTCGTAGATAGCTGAAAGACGTACTATATATAATACTAACAGATTTAATTGTTATCAACTCTATTAAAACTCTATTAAAACTCTCGACTATTAGTTAAAACCCTATATTAGTTACGATAAGAAAGTAGAAATTATATTAATCCGGCTTGTACACTTATACAGATTCTTACACAAATTTTTAAAGCTTCGTTGAACTTCAATTCATTACTTTATCACAATGCTGAAAAACACACTGCTAGTTTCGATAATGATCGATTTTGACACACATTTAGAATAGTTTAAATGTCTTTCTCCATTTTCTTCACTTTACTTTATTTGTTTCTAAACCGCTCCGATACGTTTATATAACTTCAAACTTTGTTGCATTTCAGTCAGCGAAAACCAAGAAAAGAAAAACAGAACGAAGTAACACACAGACACGTTGAATTTTTATAACTATTACGAAAAATACACAATATTTTATACTGCATTCTTAATTCAATAATTGTTCGTTTTCTTAAATTATTTATATAGAAGATAAATCACAATCATTTTTTCGCTTACATTCCTGTACTTTTAAATGCCAATAGGTTAAAATAATTACACGGTACATAGCCACTAGCTACAACTTATCTTGTAGTACCATCTGAGTAATATTCCCCTTTAATTACAGAATACCTAACGGTAGATAATTTATATATCTGGTGACATACGATAGTACATCGATAAATTCCTTCGATATTAAAAAAGAAAGTGGAAAGTTTCCACAGCGAGATTACGTAAATAATACACGAACTTTAAAACGTATTAACATAATATAGATGACTAGCAGCAACCAAGCATTTCTAAATTACATTTCAAACATTACCTGTATGTATGTACGTAATAAATTCAGGTTCACGAATACTAAGTTTTATATAAAGTTTATTTTAGAGCGTAATGGTAAGCAAAAATTTGAATTTTTATTGCGTTGAATAATTTCGGATCGTATATCAAATTTTCTCATACGCATGTTTTTATCGATCTACTATCGAATGAAATAAATCAAAACAATCAATCAACAAAAAAATGTATTTTTTTATAGATCTGATAGCAAAAAAGCAACCTTTTCCAGCATCAACTTCAAGTCCTGAATAGTTTATCGAGCAAAGAAACATGTGCATGCTGCTCCTGAATATATATTTAACCGAACACGTAATCAAAACAGCATTAGGAATAACTGCATATTGGAGTCTCAGTACCTGTTTGAAAAGTTACAACCGATTTATAGCATAATTTAGTCGTATAATTCCATTTAATTCAACATTAATGCAATAGTTATTTTCGTCTTTTAAAACTCAAATAAAATGTCAATATTAATGTTAAATATGCTAAAAATAATAGGTGTTCTGTGACGTGTATGCGTGTGTATATCGATGTTATATATTAAGTTTAAATTGAAGGTTTATATAATCTCTGCTATAAATCATTCGAAACCTACGCGAATTATCATCTACGTATATCTATAGGTATTAACCTTCGATATTGATACATACCATTCTACTTGTTTCGCGCGATAGAATTAGGTATAATTTTATCAAGATCGGTTTGTGTAAATTTATATTATTTTTATCAGCCTAGGTAGAACTCATGGATATTTATTTTTGTATAAAAATAATAAATAAAAGCTTGATGTACAAAATTTATTCAATAAGCTACAACAATAACATTTAAGAAGCTAATAAGCTTGGTGTATAAAGTTTATTAAAAACTACGCAGAATATTCCTCAATTTGGGAGATAATAAATTCCCCAATAAATTAAATAGAAAATATATAAGTAGGTATACTATAAAACTTGTTTCTTGGTTTTGTAACTTTCGGTGACGGGTAAGTGGATTTATCTTGAAAACATGTTTATACCTTTTACTTTTATCAGATTTTCTCTGTGTGGAAAAGAGAAAGAGAGAAGAAAGGAGAAAGTGAAAGAACAGGCGAGCGAGAGGAAGAAAGAATAAGATTTATTAGAGCGGAAGTAACTTCTGTCACGATTTATTGATATTAATGCTTCTAATCTCTTCTAATGCGGTAAGAGCATAAATGCGACATACTTATGATATCTGTTACAAAAATCATATTGTAAAATAATTTATTTCCCAGATAAGATTTTGGAATTTATTTGCAAAGAATATCATCTTCAAATATATTTCTTACTGTATTCGAAATAATTATTTGATCTATTTTTTATTATTTTCATGTCAAATAAAGAATATTCGATCCTAATTCCTACTATTTCAAATATCTTGAAGCAATGATGTTTGAACCACAATCTTCCTGTTCTATCAGTGTATCAGATGTATAAATGAATAGGAAAAATAAAGGCCGAAGCAATTTGAATTTTAAACACTCGTATTTCATGTTGTTATCACGTATGCGTAAATAGCCACACGTGTTCCCAGTGTCGTTAAATTTTGCGACTCAGTCGACAAATAATAAATTGAGCCCTGGAAACGGAAAAAAAGATAGGAAGTTTTAACTACTGCAATTACTGCGAATTTACTTAGTTACTGTACGCGCAGACCCACTAGCGAACATGTTGACGAAAAAATATTCTTCATCCTCCCATTCAAAGCAGAAAATAAGAATTGCAAAACAGTACATTTGAAAGGCTATTTTTCTCGTGTGCCACTGTACGTAAGGCTAACATCAATTTTAACATCGATGTATTTTCTTACCTACGTGTTACGTCTATCAATAAAATATAAAATTTGCGTAAAATACAAATTGCCTGGATATGACAATATTTTTAACGATTAGTAAAACGTTGCAATCAGGTTTTACCCATTTCGTGTCATTCAACCTAAACAAGAAACGTGTTTTGAATCTGTAAATGTTTCATTATATATATGCAGTATACACATACAATGATTATTCCGTTTCTTGTAGAACAGGTTGAACCACTGTGATAAATATGGATTTCTGAGCCTATAATTATTATATCTGCACTCACCACACTATTTCCAGTATTATTCTACTTCACTTTAATTTCTGATATTTCATTTTAACAACAGACTGTTATTGAAACAATACTATATTAATTAAATACAGTTATTTTTATTTATAGCGATAAAATGTAATCAATTTAATTTCTGCCGTTTAATTAATATTCGAGTACTATCAAGTTTAATTATATATATATATATATCGGAAATGAATATACGTTTAAAAATTGTTCGCGATCAAGAACAGGAAGCAGAAGTAACCATCACAGTGGAGTATACTACTCTTAAAAAAGGAACTATATTTAGATCAGACTTTGGCACAGTGCCCACGCTTTAAATATTTTCCTTTCAATCGTTGAAATGGTGAAAATTTTCGAGGCCACGTGCTTTTATAACTATCGCGCATGGATTAAGGCTGTATTACGCAAAATGAAAAGCTAAAATTATTTGAAATAATTTGCATATTTCATTTATACAAGTTGCGTCTATTGCACCAAGTAACCTAGGACATAATGGTAAATTATTTTCACGTACAAAGTATTTAGTAATAAAGTGGAATAGAAATAGCTGAAACTTCTTTCTTAATTTATTGAGTACAATAATATAAAACAATCGTTTAGTTAACAGATCCATTTTCTATTTTATTCCAGCCATCACTGGAGCATTCTATGCTTGCTTCTTCAGCGTGTTGGCCTTGCTCTTTGCTATTTGCATGAAAGGACTGTTAGCTACACTAAGTTATGAAAAACCAAGGTGGATTCTGGAGGAAAGTATAATAGGAACCAATCCAGGTAAATTTATATATTCTCTACTATATATTTGAAAAAATATAAATATACTTCATAAAAGTGAAAATCAACTCGTTGTTCCTTATATCATGCTGGTCACTTGCATGAAAATCGAACACTAATTTCGATAATCAAAGATAGTAAGTACATGCACAACAAATGCATCGATCGTATAAAACAAAATGATATATTTAACTTTATGTTATTCACGTATAATTCAAAAAGCTAATGCTGACCTTGAAATTTCTATAAATTTCCCACTTACAAGAAAGTGATTACTAGCATAGTCTTCTCCATACGATATCACTTTTGCAAATAAATCTTTTTCATATCCTTAAAAATAACGGAGATGTTTAATTTACTCGTGCTTAGGTAGAATATCTTGTATAATTTGTTTTACTCACCATTTGAGAAAGTACCGCGAATACCATTATTATATAATGACTAACAGTAGGATATCTTTAATTGTTCATAGGTCTAGGATTTCGGCCGATTTCCGAAAATACTGATGAAAGATCCTTAATTTGGTATAGTTCATCAGATCCCAACTCGGTACAGAAGTGGACGGGCTTATTAGATAAATTTTTAGAAGGTAAATTATAACATATATCGATAGTAGAATGACTACATTAACCAATAATTTTGTTAGCTATATAATATATCGTATATGAAATTAAATACTTACATGTTAAAGAAATTATCACGATATTATCACGATTAATATTGTCCATTTTCCGTAGAATATATTAATTCGTCGACATTACCAAATGGCGGTAGAAATCAACAGATTTGTAATTATAACACACCAGTTAAGCCTGGGCATGTTTGTGCAGTTGATGTGAACAACTGGGGACCCTGCTCACCTAGTCAGCAATATGGTTTCAACAACTCAGCTCCTTGTGTCTTTATTAAATTAAATAGGGTATATTATGGTTCTATTACTTACTGATTCCACTTTATTGGTCATGCAAAAATAATTTGAACGACTTTATCGAATTTAAATCATAATTAACGTAGAATTTTTATTTAGTATTATTTTATCATACTTATTGTAATGTTTGCCTGTATTTATCAACTAATTTATGAACATGTTACTTTTCAGATATACGGTTGGGTGCCAGAATATTATAACAACACCAAAGATTTACCGAGCGATATGCCACCAAGTCTTGTGCAACATATTAAATCAATCAACAGTTCATGGGTTAGTTAGTCGGTCAGTTAATTGTATCAGTTGATATTTAAAAAACATTTCAAAAGTACTGCAAAAATGAATATATTTGAATATAGAACAAATTATATAAAATAAATATAGGCAGAGAAATGTATAAAGATAAAATTTGCCAATTAGTATAGCACTTTATACCTACTTCTTTTGTTCTTGCAGCTAAATACCGTGTGGGTATCTTGCGAAGGTGCATATCCTCATGATAATGAAGTAATTGGTGAACTGAACTATTATCCCGAAAGTCACGGATTTCCAGGATATTACTATCCATACCAAAATATTCCTGGTTATTTAAGTCCCGTTGCTGCTGTGCATTTTCTTCGGCCAGCAAGTAAGTAGATTGCAACTCTTTATTGTTTAAATACATTTTAGAAGACATTTTCGATATGAAGTTTCAAATCTGCAACTCTTTATCGTTTAAACAGACCTCATTGTTGGATGAAATCTTCGAAATGAAATTCCAAACCTTGAAACCCTTTACTATCTAAATACGATTATGAAGTCCCAAACCTCTTTATCTTGTAAATACATGTCGAGGTGGATATTCAATACAAAGTTTCTAAATTTTGAAATCTTAACATTTCGTTAATTTTCGAAACATGTGAAAAGTGGTCGGCTTTCAACTGATAAAATAAGATTACAGATCGTTCTCATATTTCATTAACTAGTTACTTGCCTGTTGACCAACCTGCTTGTGTGTACGGTAAGCAAATGATACACTCCAGCTAAAACCAGTAAAATCCAGTGCATCGTGACATGAAAGGTGTCATCGGCCAAACAGTTTTAAAATTACGTACACATGTTGTCTCGTCTCGCAATTGACTTCATTAGTCAATACATCTTTATACACAAGCAATACGGTGCATTAGAATTACATTTCTGAACAATGCACTGGAAGATTCTTACAAGATGTAATATTTTAAGCCTCAGATAACATAGCATGAAAACAAGAATAGAGATGTTTCAGAATTTCGAAACACTTCAAATTTGGGAAGCTCGAATCTAATAGTTTGATATATGAAGATATACATAACATATTATAAAGATTACAGGGGAAGAACTTAAAATATATTTATATAAATAGACTTAGTATATTTATCTACTGTGATCTTCGTATAGTACCCTTTTTCGAAAGACTTATTAAAAAATTGTCATTTACTTTTTCAGGAAATCGAATAATCAACGTGAAATGTCGGGCTTGGGCAAAGAATATAAAATATGATGGAACCAAAGATCAGCAACATGGCATGGTACATTTTGAACTTATGATCGACGAATGATCATACTTATATTTGTACAAAAAGCAAAATAAAATCATGCAGCAGCTGGAATGCAAGATGCTTACGTACGCTGTAAATTTGGAAAAACCAATCGATAAAATTTTGGTAAATTAAAAACATACATTGAAAAATTAGGATTTGTATGAATATAACAGGCGAGTAAGCAGCAATCAGAAAATGCTATTATATATATTTTGGATTGGCTATGCATCCATTTTGATTCCATGGTTATTTTCACTATTGAATGTTGACGAATATGCTGCAAAACAAAATATTTATTAATCATCGACACTTATTATGATTATAAAGACGAAATTTAGATAAATCGTTATCGACACTATTTCATTAAACTAAAAGTTTCTTTTTTATATGAACTGTTTATATCTTAAGAGAGAATATATTATGTAGCTACTGGTACTTATTATAAATTAAATTAAATGGTTTTGAAAAAGCAATTCTGGCTCGAAATATAAAAAGAAAAGGAGAAATGTATTTAAAATACACCAGATTTGTGAGATTAATGAAATTGTTCTATACATTTAATGATGCTTATAACATTAATTATGCGAGTAAACATAAACGAACAAAGAAGAATGCATTGTATATACAGCGATTATATCTTTTACTTTTTTCATGGTTTACCATGGTAAATAGCAAGGCGTAAGAAAAATGCAAAGCAACATGTCATTACCTCGTTATATTTTCAATGTTGTTTATTTATATTGGCTCATGTACATAGACATAATATATATTGCAAATAAATAATTTTAAGTATCTTTTCCATAATAAGTCAAAAAGAATTGCTTTTGCTATATTTGAATCTTCAGTTAATGTCAATCGAATTAAAAAATAAATTGGTACGAAATAAACAGTAATTTGAAATCAATTTTTTAATCTATGTAGAATGTTCTTTTGAGATACTATAAATAATTCCGTATATGAACAATAATATTTTTGCGAGTTCTCTTTATACTCAAACGTTTATGAATTTCTCTATAGTTTTCCCAGTAATATTTTTATTACAATTAAATAACAATATAAGATCTACAACAGTATCTAAAATATACCATTATCTTTTCTGCTAGAAATATAAGAAGTTAAAATTATCCTTTGCGATCTACTCAATATTTAAGAGAGACCGATGGAAAATATCAAGATCTCGAAACTCTGTAACATTCAAATTAATTATTCAAATCATACTTAGATATATAGGTACTTATTGAATATATGTACTTATGTCGTTTATAGTGTTTACTATACAGACTTGTTTAGGAAGTAATTTTAAGTTGATAATAATAATGATGTATCTAACTATACATATAAATAAAAACAACTTTTGAAATTGAACAAATTCTGGATAATAACTATATGCTGAAACTGTGATGTTTTATTACACTTACAATTTTAAATTTTGTAATTTATTATATATAGCTAATACCATATTTGATAAAATAATGGTGAAAGAATATAAACTCATCATATTCAAACAAGGCACTTCAGAAATAAAAAAATAGTATTTCCTCTTCTATAAAATGGTACTTTATTTTTTGCATATAGTTGTAATATTTTCAAAATACGGAACTCGCTTTAATTATCGGGTCTAATTATGATATACGTAATATATAACTATATAGTCTTATTTTGATAAATTCGTTCGTAAATGTAGATTTAATTATGTAAATCATTTATTCGAGTATACGGTCCTGATTTTCAATCCAAAATATTTTCAAAAACAACTTATTCCCAATCCAACTGGGAAAATAAAAGAAAATAATAAATGAAATTTATACTTTTATGTGCCGATTTCTTATAAATATATATAAATTAATATAAATATATTTACAAACATTCATTTAAATGATATTCTTAAAAATATGCGTATGCCCGTTTGACTATAAGTATTTATTTACACCATCTATATATTTACATGCATATGCCCATTTAGTTCATAATAATTAAAATGTTTAAAATGTTTTACGGAAGTTATATAAAAATTTCATACACAGAAGAAAACATTATCGACCCATTATTTTTAATGTAATGCTGTAGACAAATAATAACACATGCCAGTAATCTGTCACGATTAAAATGTCTATGGCAATAGTTTATTAACTCATTTTAATATTGAACAATAAATGCAGTAATAAATTTAAATAGTCGCATTGCATGAATTACAAACATAAAAATATTGACATTAACTAAGATTGAAATAAGATTGAGTAAAATTTCATGTTTGTCATATCAATAAACAGATATTAAAGTCTTTTCAAAAAGTATTTTTAGTAAGTGTTTAATATCATTGAGACAGATGACAAAAATCTATAGTTTAAAAGGAAAAAGTCTTATCTATAAAAATATATGTATACATATAATACATTTACATATTTCAGAAGCGAAAAAAATATATATATTTACAAAGATAAAATATATATTACGTGTTGTATATATATATATATTATCTTTGTTAGTTTATTTAAGAGATCTATTCTCAAGAGACATTAGTAGACGTGAATTTTCGCGACAAAAAATCTCCAAAATAATATCTATATAGCAGCCTAAATATAGTTTCTTAAGCAGTTAGTTTCCATTCAATGTGTTAACAATTTAAGGCATATATATTCATCTGTTTTAAAACATCAAATATTTACCATTAATATTCTAGATATAACACAAATCTTCCATGAGATTCAATTGACAAAAATTATCATTTAAAGCAAAACTAATGCAAGTAGGTTGAAATTAAATTAAAATTTGGAATAAGGCAACATTCATATTGATTAATCACAACTTAATTATACAACTGAAAATGTAACATAGAAATGATATATTATACTCAGGTTTAGCACTAAGTAAAGAACGATTGTCTATATTCATTATTAAAATATAACTTTAGAACACATAATCATTATTTATCAATAAAAGAAGCTTATTTTCATATATAATAAATATACTTTGTTTCTTCTTCATAAATACATTATTTTTAATATCCTCAACGAAGTAAACGTTATTTTAATCGTATGGTTTCTCGTAAATTCTTTATCCTGCTAAACCAAACGAGAAGTATAAAGTCGTAAAGTGATTTGGAATTTTGCATCTTTTTCTCAGTACGTAGAAATTGAATAGAAATTAGACTTTCGATAGTGCAAACATCAAAAGTCCTTTCAACTTTGTACTTGACAAAAGTTTCTTCCACACTTTGGCAGCGGTCATCGATTTCTGACGGCTTCTAGAGTCGTTTGAAAAATGTTCAGCTATGTGGAAGAATAAGAAAACATGAGATTCGCATTGCATTTCTGTACGCTAACAAAGGAGAGACCAGAGAGATGTACTTAGGGGACATTAATCTATCATCATTTCGAAATGGACCACACCTATTTTATCGTGACGGCTGTGTTTTATGTTTTTCGCCCACGCCTTGCACTCTACGTTTATTAAAATCCCAGCTGCAACAAAATATTTTTTCCATACAAAAATATTCAAAAAACTTTGTAGAAAGAAAATTATTTACTTCGTATGACTTTGTCCAGATTAATCGACTTAATTCTCTAATCATTTGAAAAGTCAAAGCATTAAAGGACTAAAGAGTCAAGACCGTCCAAAATTTTTGTCTATTTTTTTAACACTTACTGCGAGGTCGGACGAAGTGTATAGCTACCAGCGGACTGAGGTAACCCTCTGAATTTTCGAAAGGATAAAAGTAACCGGGAAATCCTCTTCGTGGGATATACTCAATTGGTCCTATATTTTCTTGATCTGCAGGATTCTCTCCTTCGCAAGATACCCAAATCGTGTCAAGATGACGAGTATTCTTTAATCCGGCGATATGCTCTCTGAGATCGACAGGCATGTTCTGTGGTAACGAATTGGTATCATTGTAGAATTCCGGTCTCCAAGCGTATATCTAGAAATATATATTTATACCTTAACCATAGAAGAGCAGACTTTTTAAGGATACTATAAGTTAACGTGCTCCAAAAATGTTACCTTATTAAGCTTTAAGAATATACATGGTGCAGATTTATGATAATTATACTTGTTTTCTTTCGTACAAGGATACCAGTTTTTAACATCAACATCACAGACTTTACCAGGAGGTGGCGGTTGATTGTAATCACATTTATTAATATTCGCACCAAGACCGGGAACTGAACCTGGCGTTATGTAATCTGAAAAATTATTACTGATCATAATTTCTTTGTTCTCTTACCTTGTAACATTTAATTATAAAATAAAATTATACAAGATGTTTCGTGTCACAATATTATTCTATATAATTATAAATTAAATATGAATCATATTAAATAAGAATATTATATTTCAATATTACCTTTCAGAAACGATTCTAGAGAATCAACCCAGAATTTAAAGTTCTCGCTATCGGTTCCTCTGTACCAAATTAAGGTACTTTCAACATTTTCGAGCGGTGGCTGTGGCCTAAATCCTAATCCTATAAATAAGGATGTACAGTAACGAACGTTCACGTGAACATCACAGGAGAAAAACCTGATAAGTACGTTTTTGTTGAGTTTTCTATTTCAAAACTTCAAAATATGTGAATTATCATGTTTTGTCCTGTACCTCTATGTGTAAAAATATTCACATGCAATTATTTTGCTAAATGTGTGTTTACCAGGATTTGTTCCGATTATTGAACGTTCTAATTGCCACCTCGGTATCCTTGGATCTAACGTTTGAAAGAAACCCCAGAAGCAAATTGCAACCAATGCAGCCAGTACCCCGTAGAATGTCAAATAGAATAATCCTATTTTACCTGAAGAACAAAATTTAATTACTCATCAAGTTCAAACCACTAATTACAAGAAAAAGATATCAAATTTCATCATTGTCCATTGATGTCAGATTTTATTTATTTCATACTCGCCGAGCTTAGAAAAGGATTGAAAAATATCCAAGTAATTTCCAGGATTGAAGCGGAGCAATTAACGACACGGCACAGCGCTCAATCGTACTACATCCGAGTCTCATTTTCCATATTTCCGTTTTCAATTTATACACATTTCCGTTCAACTTTTGCATAGTTTCACATTACTATGTATCATTCACAGTAAAGTACAAATGGGATTTGTTAAATGTGATTCGCGTGTATCGAATCCTTCATAAACATGCGCATTGTCTGCAAATATTACGCGAATGCAACAATGTATCTTCAGTTTTACGTACTGAGAATATAACTTGTATCTTTTTTATGTCTACATGTGGTCTATTTAATTCTACTTATACTTTTCCCACCTATATGCTTCTCATTTACCTACCATTCTCAAACTTCGATCTTCAATCCAATAAGTAACAGGAGCGATAAACTTTTAAAACATAACTTCAAATTTATATCGACTAATAATAACTAGATAGCAGTTGTACGAACGCAGAAGGGTTAAGAAGTTCTTGGTACCAAAGCGCTACTCAAGAGGTCATTTTAGTGAAGAGTGGAATCCGAGAAGCGACCTTGCGAGACATTGAATCGGTACATAATTGAATTGTTCCACTTGACCACACGCTTGGATCTTCCTTTGAATTGAGGCAACGATTAATGTAATTAACCTATATTACACGGCGTACCACTACGCGCCGATTAATTCCATTAGATCTACCAGACGTCAGCATATTGTAAAAATCATAGCAATTGACTCTTGACGTCTTGCTCCTCGCGCAGATTCCCGAAACATATCTAACAAATTGACATGAAAAACATGTACGTGTGATCTATCTTGCTTACAATTGATTCTAAGTATACACAAGATACCAAAGTACAGCATATAAATCAAAATTCAAAGTATTATACAAAGACTGTAAATCGATGCCTCAGAAAGTTACATTTTATACTTCTTAAGGTAAAAAAAGAAGAGGCTTAACTGTTCTCAAGGCATATTTGAATAAAATATTCACATTAATTTTATCTTTCATTCCTCACTGATTGATAAATGATAAACGAAAGTTCAACGTTCAAACATATTCATTTCAAAACACAAAACATTATTCGTTATTTTTGTCTGACTTTTTCATGCCACATCATCCCCTCTTCGTCCCTTCCCCTCCCCTTCGCCTTCTAAGTATTCATTATAATATTTCATAGGTGAAGCTAAACCCTACTTAGGTTCCATTTCTGTACTTACCCTGTGGTATATTATCTCCTTAACTAAAATGATGTTAGGTTTCATAAATATAAAACTTAAACAAATCATTATATCATATTTAGATTTTGGAGATAGAGGCAATAAATTTAGAACTGTTATTTCAGGAACCTATAAGAAAATCTCTTGAACAAAGAGCGGAACTGTTGCAGCGTCGAATTTGAAATTAATTTTCGAAATTTTCGGGAGAGCGATGCTGAACGAAAGCTATGGTATGATATGGTCGCGTGGGTGTACCCTTCGGAATGGCCCTAAGTTACATAATGCCGTAATGCCTCCATTTAACGCCAATTGACCTCGTTGTACGCGTTTGCGCTAAAGGAAGTTGTAACAATTGCTATTCAGCCGAACAAACCGTTGTGTGCACCGCGAATTAGCCGCGCTTCGCGCTTCCGTCTTTTTCTCTCCCTTCCTTTTTTTTTTCTTGTCGTTACCTTTATTTTGGCCAAACCAATCAAGGTTACATACGCGTGTTTAATCGTTATATTTGCTTTCCGTCCAGCTTAAGATATTCATAAGTCTACATTCTTCGTTAATTTGTTAAATTTAATTGGGACAATTCTATAAATTTAATTCCAGGAGTTCATGTTGATTTTAATGGACCTTTTTTAAAACACATAACTTTATGTTTTGATATCTTTTATTTATTTTTTATAATTAGTATGGGGAAGAGTACATTTATACTCTTTGTTATTTGCAAACAAATGAGAAACTTCAATTAAAATACCTCTCTTTTCACCCGACTCTCTTGCATAATAGTTTACTAATTGTAATGATATTAGCGAATTGACAAATGGCAAGATATAAACTTTTCTTTTACAATTTTACAACGTTACATTAAATAAGATAATCGCACAATTCGCAATGTAAAATTTGTACTAATGACCTGCAAAATTTCACTAATAATGTTAGTTCAATTGTACAAGAGGACTCCGGCATATTATGATACATCGATAAGTAGATACACAACAAAGTAAACATTCTAAGCGGTTGAAGAGAACTGAGGAAACAGTACAAGGGTATATAATATGACGGCGAGGCTAGTCTCAAGGCTCGGATAAATCGTAGGATATATTTTAACAGTGAATACAATTTGCAAGAAACTGCAATACAACGACAGGCTTCTGAGCTAATTAGACGAAAGAAGACGCAAACTCACGTTTCTCTTTCTAGCTTTCTATGCTTTTTGTGGGTCTTCTGTGTACTATCGAAACAACTGCAGACAAGTTATCGTAACATTCGTAACTCGATGCTCTACAGATCAGTTTTCAAGAGCCAGACACGCTACTGCTTGGTTGATTGAAATTATATATCTCTCTTATTAATAATATTTTGCTTCTCGCAACTCTGCTTCTTTACACTCAACGCAATTTATATATATAGATATATTGTTTTGTTATAAAATATTCGTACAACTAAAAGTACATTTTTCAATGATTTTATGAAATTTGTTTAACGATAGACAATGGCGTGTATATTTTTATATAGGGTGTAAATTTAACTAAATCTGCAGGTTGAAATAGCTTGTAAGATACATGATATAATTTTCTATTAGTAAATAAGGTGAGAGGAAATTCAAATGCGATTTCTATATTGGAAACATCAAACGAATGTTAACAGATAATCTCATTATTTCGATATGGCGTCCAACATTGATATAGTGTGGCGTTCTGCCCCTTTGAAGGGTGTGTTTCCAACTGTTACCATGCCAACCTAATTGAAATATATGGTAACATCACATAAAACATCACATTCTATCATTTATAAAAAATAAAATTTGTAGCTTTTTTATGTTTTGTCCAATACAATTATTTGTAAAATAATTTTTTAAAGTTACATGGCGCAAAAACAAAAGTCATTTCTAAAATGTTAGATGATTAGTGTTATTATTAGAAATAAAACGTAATTAAAATACCACTTATTCTTTAGTGTGGAACAATGCATTCTGAATTTATAATTAAAATTGCCTACATATTCGTACGCGCACTTGTAATATTTTGAAATATTTATGTAAATGAATTTAATATGTTAAACACGTGATTACCAAAATTTATACTATAGTTTCTTCTGCCAGTGTTTCTTTTACCTTCGAACTTTTATTTCACATTCTTGTCGTTTTAAAAGATAAGAAATCGACACTAATTAAAACAGTAATTGAAAAATCAAATTAGCTTCAGTAAACCGAAGTCTACGGACAAAAATGATCCTTCGATCAATTAATAAATCCTAGTAAGTAAAACTGGTTGATTCTGCTATTCAGTTGATGTATTTGCACAAAATTTATAAAATATCTATGAAATTTATTTTCGGACTTCTGCCAGTCCGAAATTTGTTTTCGGAAGGAAAATATCCGAAAATAAAGTTTATAGTTATTTTATACGTTTTATAATTTCTATATATAAGAAAGAAAAATATATCTGTTGATCGAAGTGATCACAGTATAGCTTCTACCTGTTGTCTCTATTCACTTGCCTGGAAATTTACCAAAAAAGGTTAGTTCCTTTCTTCCTATTTCTTTTTTTTCATTCCTTTTTCCATGAAATAAGACCAATAAACATGTGAGACTGTTTAGAAAATAACGTATACTTTTAACATTATAGTTAACATCTTACGATGTTTACTCAAATAATGGAATGATATATGAAGTAAACAAGTTTTTTACATAAAATGACGAACATGTATAGTGCTTGTTGAAAATATTTTCTATCTTACTTTCTGAATTATTCTGCACATTTCTCTAGAGATGCGTTCACTTACATGTGCATTTATTAACACATATAGAAAATAATAAAATAATATTTCTAAATTATCTATATGTAGTGATTATAATTAAAGAAAAGGTAATTATATTCATCTATTCTTATGAATTGTAAAGTTACCGAAACAGAAGAAATATTGAAATGTTGACATCTTATCAAGGACTATATTGCCATGTACGCATACATTATTAAATATAAGAAATAAAGCCAACATTAAGATGAAATGATTTATCTTTGAAAAATCGATCGAAAAGGATCATTGCTCCGATTTCAATCCGAAATCAATAGAATACTCGATACAATTTCGATCGGCGATTAGATCGATCATCACAACTTACCCCAGCTACTGGCTGTTCTGCCGAAAAAGGCACCGGTCTCACGGTTGTAAATAAAGTTTTTTAATGACTGGCTGGTTGATATGCTCGGCGGTTTCAGATAGGGATTTGCCATCTCTGGGGTGACCATTTTCGAATCCTTGCTGACCATCGCGTTTTCAAATGAATTTTTTCTCTACTAGAAAGTTACACACTAACCACGTATTGAGATTTTCTTCGCGATTCTGGTATAACGAACGCACGACAAACAATCCACAGTTGTATGTGGAACAACACGACCAACAGCACTCTAGATTCGCTGCACCGAAACCGTGAGTTCCTCGAAGTCGGCTAACAGTTTCTCCGCCGCCGACAGTTGGTTGTCCAGCGCCACCAGGTTGACTAAACACGCTTCATCCGTGGAGGCTTCTTCTCTGTCTCGTTCCCTACTATTATTTTCTTGCCACTTTCTCTTTCTCTCTGCCCCTCCTTAAACCCCCACCATCGTCATCAAACCGTCCATTGCCATGACGTGTCAATCATGCACGTACATAAAATCGTCCTGGTAGTTGTTATCCATTGCCACAAGTGTGCTGGATCATGGTGTTGATGCGTATTAGATCATCTTATGGGAATTTTTTTACAAATATTAATTATCATTAGCCGAATCAAGCTTTATATACATTTCAGAAGAATCAACTTTTAATAATTTCCAAGTAATTTATAATTTTAACGCATAGGATACCATGGTTATGGTATAATGGTACGATGTTCCCTCGTGTGCCACGCCTATAACACAATCTCTTTGTCTCGGTGTATTCAGGTTAAAGTGAATTGAACAGGTTTTCGGCTGTTCAAACCGACGCATATGAAGATTTCAATGCTTGGTAATAATCTAATGTTTGAATTATGGATGTATGGTACTTCCCTTGCATTTTAAGTCGTGCGTGATATTCTAATATTACTTCTAATCTTGTACATTTAAAGTATTAGTAAGAGAAAGGATATGTGAATTTAAGAAGGATAACGGAAATCAATTTTAGTAAATAATTGATATATCTGCATAATAACTTTTCAGTTTTATATAATAAGTCCCCAAACATTATCAATTAGTATTTAAGTTAATATTAATATTAATATTACTTAAAAATAAATGCAAATATTTTGTGAATCTTACAAGTTGAAAATTAGAAACACGTACTAGTGAATTTAACGCCATTAGATTACAACATACAACGTGCCTTATTTGCATAGATACGTATTAAAAAATATATCTATGTGAATAAAGGTACGGATTAAGTATATTCTTTGATCAAATTTTTAGAAACTTCTAATAAGTAAAAAGGAAAATAATGTTTATATCGATTTCTCATTATAAGCGAAAGTAATCAAAGTTCAGTGGCGCGATCTATTGTTCAGTGTTCAGACTTAACGCAACTAGTTTTTAAGAGCAGGTGGTTTCTCTCAGATTATTCAGTTACTGTTCTACTTAAGGCTATTGCAACATGTACTTAAGTAAATTCGATTTCAGAACTTAAGTTTAAGCTTTTTACTTCTATAAACAAGAGCTTAAACGACTAATTATTATTGTTGCTATTATAAACAAACATAACAAACATGAACAAATGAAATATTTGTAACAGAAATGGAAAAACATTGAACCGATAAAATCCAATATTAAAAATGGGGAACCCAATATTAACACTAACCTTACCGGGCCCGGTCAAATGATCAGTTTCAAAATTTAATTTAAAATTGCACATTTATTGTTATTTCTTTTGTACATCTAACTTTATGTAAATTTCTATATTAACAAATATTGATAAATTGATTAATCAGGTAATATAAGAATGTACATAAAGTTGGGTCTGGCAAGATTAGTGTTAAATTAATTTTATTCCATTATGTTACTAATTACTAAATAGGTTAGTAAAAAAATATTTCGGAATATTTATCAATTCACATTACTTGATAGTAACTGATTAATTTTTGTTGTTACATTTTTAATTTTTCTATTTTTTTTTGAATATTATACTTTTATTTAAATATTTAAGTCAATATTATATTATACTCTTGCTAAATGTAAAAACTTTTTGTTACAAGCAACTAGTTAAAGAAATATGTTTTTTATTTACTTTAATGCGTCTTTTGAATTAAATATATTTGCAGCCTTTATTAAAATATGATCAGAAACGGCCATAATACTTAATGCTAATACACCTGTGTGACATAGTCATTGAGTAGCTATCGCAATAAAGAAGGCTGCGAAAACGATTTCCTCAACTTGATCGTCGTAAAACAAATTGGGGGCTAAGGTCAAACCTCGTGTGTGCGACCTTAGTGCCTGGTGGCAGCTCGTGTATGCGATTCACAGCACTTGTACTATTGGTAGTTACCTTCTCTCTCTTTTCGTCACTTGAGCCGCGCGCATGCACATAATGTGAGTCACACATGACGAGTAATCTGAATTAATCACATCCTGCCCACTGTGTCATTAATGTCATTGCCGTGTGTCGTCCGACTGAGAGAATCGGACAAAATAAACGAAAGAATCGCCTTAAATATCTAATCCTTCTATCAATGAATTCATTTTAAAAACAGACGCATCTGACATGGCACCTACAAACCAAACTTGCCGACTTATTGATTACTGGTAATTAATAATTCGAAGTGTTTTACAAAATCCATGCGTATGTATAACGTAATATGTAACTATGTATACGCAAGTTTGCAGATATAAAAGCAATAATAATAATAATAATTATTATTGTCCTTTCGCGTTATTTTACTTTGTTACTTTTAACAGAGATATGACTTGAATTTGACAACTTGAAATTGATTTAAGAACAATCACTTTTTTACTTTATATTTAGAACCTATTATTGCATAAACTTGTTATTTCCATGTTATTTGCGACATTACCGACTTCGCATAGAATACGATTGCAGCGCTACTGGCGGTTGGAATTGAAATTAAATTTCAATTTATAAATATCGATTTTTGAATAAATTTAAATCATTGACAGACTGTAGAATAAACTCAACACGCAATTCTTTTTTATATCCTATCATTGACTAAGTACAGAATAAACATGGTAGACAGCAATGTGTTGTAGAAATTCAAGAATACTTGTAAGATAAAATTAGATAAATATGCCCCAGGCGAACATATTAACAACACATACGAACTTCACATAGCTTTGAAACGTGTCTGAACGTGTAGTTCAACTCTTTCACAGAAATAACAAAAGTTGTTTCATGACTGAAATGTAGCAAAATATAAAATCTATTTCAATTATTTGTATATGGTAAATATAATAAATATATATGTTAAAAAATATATAAATATATAATATAATAAATATAATAAAACTTGAATGAATTTATATTCTTAATAAACTATACAAATGTTCATAATTTAATCATATCACATATTAATTAAATGTCTGTTACACGTGAAAGAATAAGAAAACAATATAAAGGTATACGTACCTCTATCTCTGTTAAAATAAATAAACGTTAACAAACCTTTTGCATTAAAAATCTCTGAGTTGTCACAACGCCAATACATGACACTTTTTTCGAAGTCATCTGCGAACTCAATCAATCATTTGCAAACAAGCAAATTACAATCAAGCATTTAGAATTAATGTATAAAACTGAATTAATTGAGTCAAAATGAAGCAATAATCAAACTCAAATTTTGTTTGAAAAACTCATAACACAAGCCGTTGGTAACAGACAACCAGAGAAAATTTGAAATATTATAAAATTTCGCTAACGTAACAACATACTAAATAAGAACCTATTAGTTAACTAGCTAAACGAACCTGATAATAGTCGACTGATGACAAGTGGTAGAAACATTACATAGTCGAAATTGTTTACTTCAAAGGACAATACATCTTGACACCACGCTTTCCAAGCAGTGGTATTCACTGCGATATTTAGTGACATTCGCGCCAAAACTTTGTCTAGCAGATTCCTGATTGGTTGGAGAGAAATGACTTTTCATTCGTTTACAGTTTAAAACCGCGCGCCACAAATTGAATAGGGAGATAAACGTTTCACGATTAACAATTACAAAAACAGTTATTAACAATTTTCTTCGTATTAGGAACAAGAAATAATTATATGTAGCAATAAATCGATTAAATCACACGGAATCATCACTTAATTCCGTAAGTATAATTAAATATAATTTAGATAAGGTATTCTAGGAAAATCGGTTTTATCTTGTTTTTTAGCAGTATCAAAAAGTACACATAGGTGTAATACTTAGTTTCTTTAATATGTCAAGACTGACATAATGAAATAAACAATATTGATATTTTCAAGTTCCTAAATTAATAACTGCTATTTAGATTTGAAACAAGATATTGCTGTATATATTAATTTAAATACCGTCATTTTTAGATACTATATTCTAAACCTATATATGTACAATAAGTAAATTATGTATGTAATAATTGTATGTAAAAATATTAAATAAAATAATTGAAAAAACCAAAACCGGTAATCTTTAAGAAAATTCGTATTATTTGTACAATAACTAGGTTAATTAGTTACTGCAATATTTTTATTATTAACAATATGATTATTTCCTTTGATCCATTTTATCGTAATTATGTTTAAAGAGTAATAATAAAATCAAAATATGAAAGGGCTTTTATACATTCTGTTTATTTTTCATAACACATTTCAAGCATAATGATATCAACAGCCATGCCATCTCGTCTTAAATTATTATTAAATATTCATGCTTAAAGATCTTGTCGCCGCGATTGAAGCGCTAGTTTCGAAATCAAAGGTGATATCACAACGATATGGGATAGAAAGTTCGTACACATGAAAAGTTCTCGAGAGACAAATTTCTTAGAATACATATTGTTTGAAACTTTGGAATTTTTTCATAGTAGTCTGGGTGTTAATCTCTTTCTCGATAATTGCCATTAGCAACCACTGTTGTTTGCGATCGTTCTGATCGCTTTAAAGCTTTCTGAAGTTTGAATTAATTTTTCTTCTTTTTCATTTACAACACAAAGTCAACGAAAGAATCAAAGTAATCTTAAGTTTGTTACTATATTCCTTTTGCTTGCGATCATCGGTTATTTTCAGATCGATAGCAAAAACAAATTGCATTCTATAGTAAATACCAATATTTCAAGGGTTCATAGCTTTGTGGATTATAAACCATCCGAGTTAAAACGATCGTTCAACATACTCGTTTCATCTCGTTCTATGATACTGACAGGTCTCTTGATAACTATATATTGGCGCAGATCATATTAGTATCAACGGTAATATTCTTAAACATCTAATAATCAATGTCGTCATAATGGATTTAAATACATAATTTTTCTTAATCGACAACAACAAATGTAGGTGTACGAAGACCCAAAGCAATATTCCAGAACGACAAAATTTATAATGATTTCGCACTATACTAAGTTCGAGTCTTCGTAGTCTACGGTAAAATCTTATTGATCGATACAGAAGAAATTCCTGCACCACAGCATAAGCGTTTATGGTGTTTTACATCTTCAGAATCATCTACTCCTTAAAGCAAGGAGTATTCGCTTCACTATTCTTTTACTTTATTTGTATTTTTGGTAACTATTTTCTTTTTTGATGTCGTAATATCACGTTCGGCTAACTTCTGTTGACGAACCTCTTCCCTATACATAAAAAGTCGCAAAGATGTGAAAAGTAGATGCAGTCATGGGTAATCGTATTATATTAACTACTGAAGAATATTAACGTGTTCACGCTAATTTCCTTTCCCGAGACATCAAGTCGCGATATCTTGTTTTAACGGCTGAAATTTATTTCAGCAAGATCAAAGCAGAAGTAGAGATTTCTTGGCTCCGCAGTCGTTCAACATTGCAAATGCTTGAACCTCGATATTTAACTATTTTAATTAAGCGTTAGCGCTAATAATAGGAAAATTCGAGTCGATTTTACAAAGCAATTGGTAATCGTTGAGTCAGAATCAGAGGGAAGTGGGGAACGTGAAGATAAATCTAACATTAAGAACCAACGACACGGTGTCCCGACACAGAAATTTGATGTCATGTTTTGTGATCATATATCTCATATATCACACATATTCGTTCGTTTTTTTATCGACTTCTCGACGAAATCCTAATGTAATTCTATATCGGTATTCCTCTCCATTTTTCTCACGTAATACACCCTTTTATATGCATCGATTTCAATTAATCTCGTGCCTAACTGAGCGGTTCCCAACGCATGTATATAACATAGATGAACCTTCAAATGTCTTGTAGATACATACACATATCAAATAATTTAACGAATAGTATTATAACCGGTATGCATGCATATATGCGTTATAATATACGAATCACACTTAGAATTAATTTCACTTATTCAGATTAATCGTCATAATTAGAATATTATTTTGTTATCGTTTTTTCCTCTGTTTTCCTTAGCGTTCACATTTCATACAATATCGCGAGTTCTGTCGAATTTTTACTAATGTGACCGGCTATTCAGGAATTACGTTAAAATCATCTTTAGTAATATTAACCTTATGTGTATTTATAATGTATATGTATATCATATAATTATCGTTACTTTAAATGTATATATAATTTTATAATATATACTCAATATATCTTTAAATGTATCTTAAAGCTTAAAATTCTGCCACTTTTTTCTTTTCATCAAAATTTTCATCTACTCTCATACGCATACGTCTCACGTACATAATTCGTCACATACTTAAAGCGCTAATTGTGTTAACGATTATCACACAGGAAACATGTTCCAAATAGAATCCGGAGAATAAACATAGCTTGCAGGATAGTGCAGGATTGTTCTCGTTGAAATTCCACCATTTGGTTTCGAGAAACGGGCGTTCGGTTACGGCAAGCTAAGAAACTTTAAGCATGATTACTAATAATCCCACCGAACCTTATTCATGGCTAGTAGTTTTCTTCGGTATCAAGCTTTTCCCGGCTCTCTTTCAACTCTCTTTTTTCTTGTTCACGCTTGCGTGAAACGTAATCTATATACTTTAACAACAGATGTTCATTATTAGAAACAGCTCATTCACAATGATGAATATACATATATAATCGTTCTCGATCAGTGCACTGGATACAAGTGTAATAATTCCTATTAGTACTTTATACCATCAACGCATAATTCATCATCGTTTTCATTATCATCGGTACCTTCGTCTTTTTTCCATTAGTACGTTCTCATTTTCATTCCATTTTCTTTTCCGCCTGCCTCATCCTTTCTTCCTTTTTTTTTTTTTCTTAAAAGTTAATAGTGTCGTCGACGATTAATCTATATTAAGTTTTTTCTCATATCTCAATATGGCTCCGGGCGAGGACTCAAAAATTAACGATAATAGTAATAATGGTAATAGTAATAATAATAATAATGATAATGATAATGATGAGAATAATAATAATTAATATTAATGACGATACTAATTATAATAATAATAATAATACTAATGTTAATTAATAATCGTACGTTACGTCGATTAATAAATAGCAATAAAATTATTGATCTTGTTTTTGGCAGCGCTCACATTCGAAGTCGCCGCCCGTTCGGATCGCTTCATCTATAGCCTTTGTACTATCTTTTCGTCCATATAATCAAGAGCGATCGATCCTTTTCTACGCTTTCATCGAGAATTTAATGAAGGAAATTTTCTTTTAATTCTATAGTACCGATCGCTTATGCTATCACGGTCGATTATTTTCATATAAATCGATAATTTCCAGTTAAAATAGGATTGCCATTTCGCCAATCCCAAAGAAAGATCATCGGTATGAGAATCGGTTAACTATAGCTTAATCGTTTTACGCAGTATACAACACGCAGGTAAAACAATGTAAAATGCAACGGAATCTAAAAATTTGTATATAATAGATAACAGATCACATAATGGCAGTATAACTTTGGTAGTGAATGTATAAGCGTTTGCAAACAATTAAAACGAGGGATAATGTTCCTCGTCGTTTGATTAAGATTAAATTCACGACGTAAGCACGTCCCGTCGTAATTCGAATAAGTATCATAAACCGTCAAGAATCCCAGATGCCAAGGGCGACGACCACCGCGCAAACGCTGTCCTTCGAAAAACGAACAAGCTCTCGGAACAACCAGCTTTGCTTCTAAATTTAAGCCATGAAGAATGGAGATCAGATGACAGACATTCGATTTCGTTTACATTAAGTACATACCATTATCGTTGGTTGCTATAAAGAAAAATAGAAAAATAGGAATATCAGATGTAAAATTGCAATTTACAAAGCAAAGGAAATATCGATACGATCAAGTATCGGTTGAAATACAAAAATCATCTTAGCGAGATGAAAAACGAGAGAAAGAAAAATAAACTCCTCGCAAAATGGTAAAATCATCACATAGGAGAATATAAATAGATAGAATATTAAGTAGCAAAGAAAATGAAGTACTATCGAAATAGAACACAATTCCTCTGATCTCCAGACTATAGGATACAACCTATCGACTATACGATTGCGTGGACTAGCACTAGATATTATCATGCGGTACAATATAATCATAAATACATATTCCATACGGTGTTGTACGATTATCACTAGGCTGATTAAACTTTCCCGTGCAAACAGCGCGCTGTTTCTCGACAAATCGAAATCCAACAAAATTTTGGTATCTTCCACTCTTATTTGCTTCGAATCTTGTATCTATGTACATTTATTAACGTTAATGGCGGTAACTGCCGAATTTGTTATTTTCGCTTTCCAAAGTTCTTTCACTTTTCGGAAGATTTGAGCAATTCGACTAAAATTCAGTTTTTCCTCTAAGTATACGAAAGAAAAAAGAACACACAACGAAACATATCGATTGCTTTCATTCAATAGTTTTGTATTAGCCTTT